TAAATATTCATGCAAATAAATTTATCACATACGTAAAGCAATAAATAATTTCCATGCATATATAGATAATTAATTGGCATAATATAATTTAAATAAGTAAATAAATAAATTCTCAATTATCGCTATTAATTATTGAGTCTCCTTGAACAAGGAAACTCTCAGATATGGATCTTCTGATTTTACTAGCTCAACTGGAACTCCCACTGTAGCAGAATTCTGTTAAATATTGTATTGCTTGTCCAACAACTCAACACCAAGCTCGTCGGAGGAGACGTCATTTGCTGCCACCTGCCGCTGGTCGCCGACGTGTCTCGCCAGATTTTTTTTCTCATCCGCTCACTCGTGCCACTACCTTCACCTCGTCGCGGTCCCGTGGAGCCTCGCCGTTGCACGGGATTCTCGCAACTTTCTATCAAAAAATTGTCGAGCTTTATCTTCATCTTGTTGCTCCACCGGTATAAGTTGAAGAGGTGTATGAGTAATACAGTAGAAGATCCTGAAGGTAACTGAGACATATATTGATCAACCCCAGAGACGACCGCCGATAGCCGTGAGCCCGACAACCGCCGTTGCGAGCCACACGACCGCCGATGATCACCGTCGTGAACCAGTCGGAGCCGACGCAAGCTGCAATGACTGCCGACCCGCGATAACAGCAACGCACGGCCAGCCCTAGCGATGCCACCTCAGTCGTCCAACAAGCTTGACGTCGCGATCCAGCCCTGTTCGTGATCTTGACATTCCCCTGATGTGTTGTTCCTGTTCATCCTGAATCCATCAAATTCTAAAAATATTAAGCCGTAAATTTTCTATGTCAAACCTTTAAATCCGCTGTGCATAGGTTTACGTTGCTATCGGATTCGTGAGTTGTACATAACGAGATCCTCATAGATCTCAACATGATAGTCGATTGATGATCACGCGGTCTCGGTTACCTCAGGATCTTCTACTGTATATATCAAATGCCTCTTTACCTTGTACCAATGGAACAACAAGATAATTATTAAACTCCAACCGGGAACTGGAGAGAGAGAGAGAGAGAGAGAGAGAGAGAGAGAGAGAGAGAGAGAGAGAGGAGGGGGGGCGTGTGACGATGGTGATGAGATTGTGATCTCTTGTATCCTTCACATGAGCTTAATGATGTATATATAGAGCTACAGTAGGTATTCTGAAGAGAATATGATTAGGGCTTCTTAAGCATCGGGCCTAACTGTGAGCCTAGCTCACTCTTTCCAATTACTTAAATAATATTACGGTTCACTAACGTAATATTATTGCACTCTCTTTTTTTTATCCCAAATTATATTTGAGACTCAAATTATAATTACTCGAATTACCTCTACTTGTTTAAGATATAATGTTGATTAAATCGATTACTGATAATCAAGAAAAAAAATAACATATTATATTACCAAAGCTAGCACAGTTCATCACATTATTATTATGCTGAAACTTAATCCACCTGTAGGATTTTAGCATAATAATCCTTTATGAACTAACTTCAGAGATATCATCAAAATGTCGCACATGGTGACCGTAAATTTTCAAACAACACATCGTACATATAATAATATTACTCAAAACATCAAGTATGTTGACTCATTAAACTGAATCTCACTTGGATGAATCAAAGTAATAGTTATTATAAGTACATGCCTGTTTATATCTTACGGGTTAAGAGAATGCAATAATCAACGATGATCAATATAAAACAAATTCTTACTCTCTGGGATCCTGTTTAATACATAAATGTACTAGCACAACTAATCAATCAATATCAACTGTAGCGTTGACATTACAACCGTTCTGATGGTTTGTTCATTTCCATGTAAGCTGTGAACCAACAATTTTTGTATCGCAAGTAACCAATATGATGATCTTCTGTTCACCCGATAATGAACCACCTTATCTAAATGCGAAACAACAGAACATAGAACTTATTTAATTAAACATAATTCTCATTCAACGAATGATAAATTGTAATATCATCCAAAGCCAAGCTTTTAGTATATAACACCAACATGGCCAACATACTCGTCCACCCTAACCTTGCTCAAGCCCTCACACAACTCATCAAGCCTATAGCACTCATTAACGACGACATAATGATAATTGACTATTTAACCTGTACAAAGGTACCTCTCGTCCTTGAGTCCTCCTGATTACCCTTTCCCACCATTTTATTTTCTTTCTTTACTTGCAAACAGTGTTCTTAGAATCTTAGCATGCTAATCTGACCAAATTCAATGGTTAATTTTCTAGAATTCTTGCACGGAGAGCATTTTTATTCAGAGCAAATGCCTGATTTTTTGTTCACCCACCATAAATTAGGGATTTTTATTGAGAGCAAAACCAAGTAATTAGGGATTCGGAGAATGAAATTTCAATCCCACTAGTCATTGACGAACAAACATTCGATTGCTTTGGGAGCTTATTTTAAATGCTCAATTCGATGTCAATTTTTAGGCAACTCATGGTGAGGTTGCCGGAGAGAAAAGCGATGTGTAGACGAGGGAAACTATTTATTTTGTTCTGACATTTTTTTAATATTTTATGCTTTACTAAAATTAAATTGTAAATATAATGATTATATATATAGGTAGTTTAGATGTAAATATAATGATTATATATATAGGTAGTTTAGAAGAAAGTGAGTGTGATATTGTGATGATTGCAGATGAAAAATAAAAACTTAGAGAATGACAAGTAATTTGGAAAGGAAATTGGAGATCTAAGTCCAACTTGCTCATTTTTTTTTTTTTTACAAAGGAAGAGGCTAGACGCCTAGTGGATTACAGCACGGACAGATCGAGAGTAGGCAACTCCAATAATGTCATATTGTAACCATTGACATATTCCACCGACGGGTTATTAAAAAACTGGTATCACAAAGGGCCTTTCGCTGTGAAGGAGGCCATAAAGTTGGCCGCATAAGGGAAATTTTTACACATACTTACCGTTTTTTAGTTATTTGCAAGATTACCATTGAAAGAAAAATATTTGTGTGTTTACCTAATAGATAAAAAGATATTATATTAATGCCTAATAAAATCAGTAGATGTGTGAAACGGTTTCCATGATTTTAGGGGGCACAATCTCAAGCAGTTATTATGGAAAAAAATATAATAAAATTGAAATTTAGCAGCATATTAATTGCTGAAAAAACGCAGCGGAAACCCATATTTTCCGCACTATTTTCTGAAGTATATGTGCAGTATATTTTTGGTATTTTTTTATCAAAATAAATTATGTAGGTTTTAATATTTTTGGTTTATATTTAGCAGTTTAGTTTTATGCGTGCAATATATGTTCAGTATATTTTATTTTTATGTTCAGTTTATTTGAAGTTTATGTTCAACAATATATTGTTTGGTTTATGTGCAGTATGTATATTTCACTAATCATTCACGGTTTGGAGTATATTTCACGTCACAGAGAATGTATATGTGCAGTATATTTTGGTATTTGTTCATAGAAATAAATTGTGTAGTTTTAATATGTTTGGTTTATGTTCAACAATTTATTTTTATATGTGCAGTATAAGTATATTTTTGGTTTATGTTCAGTATATTTTATCTTTATGTTCAACAATATATTATTTGGTTTAAGATAGATATGACTAAAACAAATCTACCAGACGTAACATAATAAAAACTACAACAAAAAGGTATTGCATATACCAAACATATAGCAGAAATAAACCATTGGATAATAAAAAAAAAAGACAACATATACCAGACGTAACATAAAAAAACGACAACAAAAGGTATCAAATATACCAAACATATATTGTACATATACTGATCGGGTGTGGTTTTTTTTTTTCTGTCGATATACTCAACACACAGTCCAATACTCTAAAAAAATCGAAACAAATTCGGCATTGGTAATTGAGGGAATCATCCTCCGGAAGATATTCATCCTCTCTTCCGTGCGACTTGGCCTAACTTACCCCCATCCTCCAATAATGCATATTCTTCTTCTACGCCAGTTAATCCATCTGCAGCCCCTCTTCCTTTGTCTTCATCCTAATTGCAATCCAAATTATATTCTCCAACACAAACTCAATAATTCACAAATTCATATTCCAAATTATGTAACACCTTTTCATCATCTAAATCATAAGCAAACAAGAAAAGATTATAACTAGACCTCCAGCCCCAAAATCCATATGAATGCCTCATTCCAGGAACACTTGAAGGTGATTTTGTTCATGCATATCATCAGATAACCCACAAATTTCATAAGGAAACCAGATAAAGTAACGAGAATCAGTGAGAGGCCTTCAAGCATGGTCGGAGTTTCAGTATCTCTCTTCTCGAAAATTAACTTTTTCTGAACGATTTTGGTTATGCTTTTGACTGGATTTTACGAAGCCGGGCACTCAACCTAATATGTGGTGTTTCGCCGGCATCGTTTGTGGGTTTTTATTTTTTTTTTTTGGAGTAGAAAATGGTAGTTTTTTCTTAGCCATTGAAGAGGGTTTTTCTGGATAGAGAGGCGTGAACGTAGGCGGTGGGTGGTTTTGGAGAATGAGAGAGATGATAGCAGAGAGAGGGATGTTAGGCAAGTATATATTTGATTAGATTAAATTATCCCAATTGTATTTAATTTGGCTAATTAATTGCTTAATAGCAATTACATCTACAGAATCTCATATCTTAGGTATAAGTGCAATATTTTGTGTTTGTTTTAGTAATCTTATAAATAAGAATATAATGGGTGTATAAGTGTAATATATATCATAAGTTATTGTACAGGGTGCAAATTCCTCTAAAATAAAGTAAGGAAAACGATGAATGATAGATATTATTTCCAACAACCCCAGGATATTATGGTCATTCGACCAAAGTCATACACTCCTTTAAAATGTAACCCAAACTCCCCTCCTCCATCGTCTCTCACATTTTTATCACCCCCATCTCTCTCGCTCTCCGTCGCGCATTAGTTTTCTCTTTTTCTCTCTCACACACCCGCACCACACCCAGTTGTCGGTGGAAATGGATCCAGTTTCAGAGTGGGGCAACAGCCCTCTATCCGCCGTGGATCCTGAGATCCACGACCTCATCGAGAAGGAGAAGCGCCGCCAATGCCACGGGATCGAGCTCATCGCCTCCGAAAACTTCACCTCCTTCGCCGTAATTGAATCCCTTGGCAGCGCCCTCACCAACAAGTACTCCGAGGGCATGCCCGGCAACCGCTACTACGGAGGCAACGAGTACATCGACCAGATCGAGAACCTCACGCGCTCACGCGCCCTCCAGGCCTACCGCCTGGACCCCACCAAGTGGGGCGTCAATGTCCAGCCCTACAGCGGCTCCCCGGCCAACTTCGCCGCCTACACTGCGGTTCTCAACCCCCACGACCGCATCATGGGGCTCGATCTGCCCTCCGGCGGCCATTTGACCCATGGCTACTACACCTCCGGCGGGAAGAAGATCAGCGCCACCTCGATCTATTTCGAGAGCCTGCCCTACAAGGTGGATTCGAACACGGGGTTCATTGATTACGACAGGCTGGAGGAGAAGGCCATGGATTTCAGGCCCAAGCTGATTATTTGTGGCGGGAGTGCTTATCCAAGGGATTGGGATTACAAGAGGTTCAAGGAGATTGCGGACAAGTGTGGAGCTCTGTTGCTCTGCGATATGGCTCATATCAGTGGCCTTGTTGCTGCTCAGGTATACATGCGTGTCCTTTATTGATATTTTGTCCTTTTTCATTTGTGCATATATGGGAGAAAAAAAATTGTGATCATAAGTTTGATTTGTTTGTATATTTTTCTTATGATAATATTCTGGTAATGGATCATTGATCTAACAGTCATCTGGACATTTTCAGCGGTTCGATATTTCGATGCATGTGCTTGTTTTCTTCTACGAAAATAATAGAATACCATTGCCATGTTTTAGGTCTTGTTTCCACACGTTCAGGTGTAGGATTTACTGATATCCCTCTGTTCTATGGATCCAAGCTACCTCAAACCTTTAGAAACTGAACTTTATGATTGATCTCCTAATACTATTTTTGTTGTATACTCTCAATCAATGTAAAGCCGTATATGCGCCAAATAATATAACATTAATGAGTGCAGGAAGCGGCAGATCCTTTCGAGTACTGTGACTTGGTGACAACTACAACTCATAAGAGTTTAAGGGGTCCTAGAGCAGGCATGATCTTCTACAGGAAGGGTCCTAAGCCGGCCAAGAAGGGCCAACCGGAGGGTGCTGTGTACGACTTTGAAGACAAGATCAACTTTGCTGTGTTCCCTTCTCTTCAGGGAGGTCCACACAATCACCAAATAGGTGCCCTTGCTGTGGCCTTGAAACAAGCAACATCACCTGGTTTCAAGGCCTATGCTAAGCAAGTCAGGGCGAATGCTGTTGCCCTTGGGAACTATCTGATGAGCAAAGAATATAAGCTTGTCACTGGTGGAACTGAGAACCACTTGGTCCTCTGGGATCTTCGTCCTCTTGGGTTGACTGGTAACAACTCAACTAACTACAAATTTGATTATTCTTTTTCTTTTTTCCTTTTAAACTGCACTTATATTTTAATTGAATCCTAATTCCTTGTGATACATGCGTACGTTCATCGCTGTGATGTTTTCAGGCAACAAGGTTGAGAAACTCTGTGACTTATGCAACATCACTGTAAACAAGAATGCTGTTTTTGGTGACAGCAGTGCATTGGCCCCGGGAGGGGTTCGAATTGGTGAGACTCTGTCATTATTGCATGTTTTGTGCATTTATTACGCGATTTTCATTATTTTACTGCTTTGAAATTTTATCTGATTTATTTTACTAGGTATTAAGTGGTAACCCTCTACTTCAATAATTCCAGGAGATACTCTGCACTTGCAGTGTAAATGGGATCCAGAGTGAACAATAAGAGTTTTTTTAAAAAAAAAAATAAATAAATAAATAAATTCCCTTTTTGTTAGGCCATCGGTATATATAGCTTATTTCGAAATAAAGAACAAGAATTGAAAATGGCCATTGATGGGTGAGGGTGGTGGCTGAAGAGAAAATCAATTAGCATGTTGTTTCGGCCTTTTGAGCTCCTTTTTTTTTTTTTTTTTTTTCAATATTTTTACGATCTTTTACTTAAGAGGTGATAATTGTTTCATGGATGTTTTGATTTCAGGTACTCCTGCCATGACATCGAGAGGACTGGTGGAGAAAGATTTTGAGCAGATTGCTGAGTACCTCCATCGGGCTGTGACCATCACCTTGAAGATCCAAAAGGAGCATGGCAAACTACTGAAGGATTTCAACAAGGGTCTCGTCAACAACAAAGACATTGAGGAGCTCAAAGCTGATGTTGAGAAATTTGCATCCTCATTTGACATGCCAGGCTTCAAAATGTCTGAGATGAAGTACAAGGACTAAGCAAATAAAGCACAATTCTTGTTATTTGGATTTTCTGTGTTATGTTTTCTCATCGATTTTTTGCCTTTTGTTTCATCTCATCCGTATTTGGTGAAAGAATAATTGTTGTATACCCTGTTGCTTCTCTATTTCCTTCAGGCATAGTTTTCTGAAAATTCATTCTGTTCGTGTGGAAGTTGTAGCTGATGACGAGTTTGAAGTATAAAACGTACTTACCACTACTGTAGTACAAGTGATTTTGCTTGTGTTTGCACCTTTCTCAAGTAGTTAAGTATCGAGATTGGAAGTTTTTCTTAATTTCCTTTCCATTCTTGTATTTGTTAAAAAATCAATTAAATAAAATTGGGTTTGATTCGATTTGACTGACTTCTTTTATAGCAAAATGTTTAAATTGGGTTGAATTAAATTCTGTAGAAAAAAGTAGGGTAAATTGCACTAAACCCCTGTATGTAACGAAATGTGCGCGTTTTTCTATTGTGTTTTAAAAACTGCACCAGACCCCCTTATATTTAAGTAACAGATGCAAATGCTTCCTTTTTTTTTATTCTTGTTAACGGCGTTAAATTTTTTACAAAAGCCCCGTTATACCCTTCAAATTATATATATATATATATATATATAAATATATAGGGATGCGCTCACATGAGAATGGTTCTCAACGAAAGAAATGAGAATAAATCTCATCCATCACATTGAACAATCTAATGGTTGATGAAACAGCTGGAATTATACTATCATTAAGGGTAATATGGACATTTTAACTAATCATCCACCGCACAAATGGTCCCACCCACTACAGTCCAATTAATTCTGACCCATAATTCGTCTCTCTCTCTCTCTCTCTCTCTCATACCCGCAGATCTACTATTGCCGATCGTCTTCAACCGCCTCCCCCAGCTCCTCCGATCGCCGCCCGTCTCCAACTCTTGCATTCTTTCCCCCTCTTCTTCCCCCAACTCCGCCGCCAACCTCGAGAGTCGAGAGGATCTCGTTCCTCGGCCACAGTAACGGCGGCCCAAACTACAAGGTCCGACAACACCACGCCTCCATCGTATAAGCCCTAAAAGTCCTCCAAGATGTCGTCGGCTCGCCGTCCGCCGCCGGGATCTTGGAAATTCATTTCCGCCTCACCCCCGACTCCCCTAATTTCGCCAGAAACAGGTGCACATCCGATTCGGGGAGGAGTAGGGGACCAGGCTGTCAGAATTGGACGACGATAAATCGCCGGCGACAAGCCTGAGTCGGCGAGATTTGTGGGAAAATTAAGTTGCTTGATTATGAGAATTAGATCATTTTCATGGATTGAATTGCAATTTAAAAAAAAATATTATATGTCAATTGAATTCATGTGGTTGGCCGGTCACTCAAGTTTCTGGGCCATATTTTGCTGATTTCAGTGGAACCTGATCTGTGTATGCGCCGGTATGTAATTAGTTAGGTGTTTTAGTTCTTCTTTTATGGTGTCTGGTATCTCTTCTTTCTAGTTTCTTTTTTCTTTTGTTTTGGTTAATAGCTTGTGTAGGTGGTTTAGTTGTTTTTGAGTTGTTCAGGGTATTGGCATCAGTTGTATTCTCCAGCTTCATTAGATTTACCAGATAGGGTTGATCTGTGATTGTTCCAATCAATTGGTTGGCCTTTTACATTTCAGTATCTGTTATAATAATTTATCCGTTTGAAGGGAAACAAAAAAAGAACAAAAATATATTTTTTTTTTATTTTTTTTGTACATGCATATATTATATTATTTCTAAAATTAATATAAAATATTAAATAAAAAATAAAATAAATTATTAAAATGTTATTGACATATTGCACATTATTGATAGACGGGTTGCACCATTGTGTTAGTGAGATTGCATAACAAGTGCACTTGCTAATCAAATTAATAATAAAAAATATTAAATACAAAAAATATAAATACTGCATATATTTTTTATTGCATAAATAATTTGATAAATGCACCGTAATTTAATTAAATACATATTATTAAAGAATTTTAACATTGAAATGCACATTAATGATTGCACAATACTGTTATACCGACTGCAAAGTACTGTTATACCGATTGCACTGTAATGTTATACTGATTGCACAATACCATCATTTTTGTTTATTTTTCTGAGCAATTCGAGTGCACATTAGTGATAGACGGATTGCACATTAATAACTGTCAGATTGCACTATAGCGATTGAAACCGACGAACTAAGTTTTTGGGTTCGAAATTTATATTTTGATTCGATTATCCATTTTACTTGTAAACATTTGGTTATTTCAGTTTGATGTCAATTTTTTTTTTAAATAAGCAAACCAATCGAACTATATGAATAAATATTATTATGTTATTTATATATTGTAGGTCTGTACAACCAAAAGTAATATAGAATATTAAATAAAATATTAAACTAAGTAACATAAAATATTAAACTAATCAATATATTTTTATAATATAAAAAAAAATTATTTTGGTTATTTATCTTAATTTGGTTAACCGATCAAATAAATAGAAAATTTCTTGCGGCTTTAGTTTTGGTTAGGGCAGCTTATAATAAGTACATACACTATTGCACTATTGTGTTCGATGATTTGCACATTAATGACTACTATATTGCAATGTATCGGATGAACACGACTAAACTAAGTGTTTTGGTCCAAATTTTATAATTTGGTTCAATTATCTATTTTTACTTTTAAAATTTTGTTTATTTCGGTTCGATGTAGCTTTATTTTTCAAAATAACCGAACCAATCTAACATTATACAAATATATTCTTTTGTTATTTATTTGTTTTAGATCTTTACAACCAAAAGTGATATAAAATATTAAATAAAATATTAAATGTACTTTTATAATATCAATTCCAAATTGTTTTGATTAATTATGTTGTTTCGGATAACCAATCAAATAAACCGACTATTTTTTTCAATTTCAGTTTGATTTGGGGCAACTAGTAAATAATTCATGAACTTCGATTCGAAATTTAAATTTATAAACTGGTTGAACAAACCATTTAATTATTGTTGTGAAAATATAACTAAATTTATAATGTGCTTGAAGATAAACAATATTGTGCTTCTCACGTTTTATTAATGTGCAATAAATTGTACTTTTTGATAAATTATATAATTGCCCCACAATTAAAATGCAACATATTAAATTCTAGAATTTCACCAAAACCCCTAATATTAATATGTCTAATTTTCAGCAAGTCCTCACAAGAAAAAAAAGGAAAAAAAAAATTAAAAAATCATATCACTACAGTATACACACACAATACACACTAAAATTCAACCAAAGCCTGCGAAATAGAAAGAAAGCAACTCAGGAGAGAGAATGAGTGGGGAGAGAGAGAGAAAAGATAATGAGTGGAGAGAGAGAGAGTAAAAAGAATCAAGCGAGATGTCAATGACATGTGACCTGTCAATTCGGATGTTTTACCACACTACCCTTCTACCCACATGTATGACAACAATATTCACTAATAATTACGAATGTGCCACCGCTAATTTAAAATCTGTTGAATTCATCTTGAGCGTTGATACGCGAAATCGTGTGGTATGAGTTCATTCTCATTTCTTTCGTTGTGCTTCTTTCTCATTTGAACGCACTTCTATATATATATATATATATATATGAATTTCTCACGATATATTGGATATATCGCGAGAAATTGAATTAAAAAAATAATCTATCTCTTGGGTTTGAACCCAAGACCCCCATGTGCATGGCAAGCAAGCAACCACTACACCACTCAAGCTTTAGTGTTAAATATAGTAAAGTTTAGTATACATAGGCATTACATATGGATAAATGAAATTTAATTTAAAAGTAATGTAAATCATATTACATTAAATTAATAAAATATAAACATATGATAAATTAAAATATAATGAACCAAATTATATAAATTAAGCGAAACAAAAATATAAAATTAACTTATTATATTAAAAAACAAAATAATTAAAATAAATTATAAATAAAATTAAAAATCAAAGTCAAAATAATAATATTTATTGAATTTATATCAAGATTTTTTTATATTTTATTATTTATTTTAAATAATTTATTAAAAAATAAAATCTTTTACCAAAAAATTATAATTTATTTCAATTTTTCTCAGTGATATTGTATGTAAGAGTAAATCATATTACACGTATTTGTTAAATTGTGTTTTTCTATTTTATTATATTAATTTAAGATATTTATTTACTATTTAATTTATTATATCATACTAACTTTTTTTTCGGAACGATAGAGGTAATATAGAAGGCACAAAAGTGCAAAATGAACAAATTACAGGACCCCAACGGGGTAATCTAAGGCCCCAACAGGGTAATGAGACAGGGGCCAACAACCCAAACCAAAACCACACCTAAAAAACAAACAAGAATAGCAAACTGAGAGGACACGCACATGGAGGCCTAGAGGACTCCACAACAGAAAAATAAAGGAAAATGAAAAACAGAGCCACTGCACAAAGCCTAGCCTGAATTCATCTCCGAAACAAAAGCAAACAAACACACTGAGCAAAAAAGGAAAAGACGCAATAACAACACAACCTAACAAAAAAAATGCGAGACTACCCAACAAAACAAACAAAGGCAGCAAAACAAAACGAGCCCTTCCAGAGTAGCGACACCTAACCGAACCAACGGATACAAGGCGACTATGAATTTCGAAGCTAGACGAACCAACACCGAAACTGCCCAAACCACACGGTTGCCTAACGGTGTCGGAACTCTAACCCCGGAATTACATCAAGCCACCCCGCACCACGACCACGACACCTGATTGCCCCGAAAGGAAAAAAAGGGGTGTCGCGGCCCTAGCCCCAACCCCCCACCGCGCTGGAAGTTGTCCAAAGTCATCGCCCGCCGCATCTCACTTCGACCAACACCACTGGAAGAAGGCTGGACACGGAGACCCCTACAAAACAAAAGCCGAGAAAGGGGAGGGAAGACATCGAACATCAGCGATGCCCCAATTGCCCAACCCAAAAGGGAGCCGAGCAATTGAGTCGCGTCCCCCCCAGAACCGCACCACGGCTCCACCACCATCCAACAAAGAAGCCGACACCCAAAATAGACGAGTCTGCGCCGGAAAAGACGAAGACAACTCGCCATTTCTGGGGCTTCGCTCCATGGAAAATGGTAGCAGAGCGGAATAGAAGGGACAGAAATCCAGACGGTCAAGGGCTGGCGACCGCCGGCTAAACTCGGCAGCAACTCTGGAAGGCCGACAACTGAGAATCGGAGGAGGCGAAAAAGAAGATTTGGGGGCGAGGGTTTAGCAGCAAGCAAGAGAGAGCGTTTTTAATATTTTTACTTTACAATTTTTATACTTTATTGTCTTATAATATTTTTATTTTATTTTTAGTTTAATTGTATTTGTTTTTTATTTAATTTTATTATCATTAATTTTCATTTCAAAATTTATATAATTAAATTATTTTAGTAATTAAAAATTATAAATTTATTTTACTTTAATTCGTTCTACTATATATTAAATTTTATCTTACTTTATTTTAATTTAATTGTTTTCATTATTTTTATGTTAATTTATTTTATTTCAAGTTATTATTATTATTAATAGTTATTTAATTTATATTAATTTACCTATTAGATTTTTATTGATTTCAATTTCTTTTCTTTTATTTTATTTAATCATTTTCGTATTATATTATAAATATATGTGTGTTCAATAGATAACACAACATTCATGTAGCCCAGTGGCTTTGTTGGCATGCTCACTCTTGGGCACCCCAGGTTCGAGTCCCACTTCATAAACTATATATTTTTGGCTTTTGCAATAAGATTCAGGAGGGTAAAATGGTAAATTAGTAATTCTAAAAATATAAAAATTGAATAAATCTCGCAACTAGAGAAGGTGTCACACACGCGCGGTTAACTTGGACGGAATGGGAGAACCGTGCAACAATTACATAAACACAAGGGGGTCTGGTGTAGTTTTTAAAACACAGTGGGAAAACGCGCACATTTAGTTAAACACATGGGGGTTTGGTGCAATTTATCCGAAAAATATAGCAAAATCTTTAAATT